TTTCCAAAAAATTTTTTATAAGTATAGCAATTATCGGTGATTGAGAAAAACAGTTCTATCTGTTATATGTTTCGTTGCATTAAGTAGAAGGCTCAGATCATATGCTTGAAAAATAAACTGTAATATATAGTAATTAATTTGAATATATAAAAAAATAATAACAGAAATATTGGAACAATGTAGAATAACGATAAATCTCACTTCTCCACTATCTTTATGTTTAGAATCTTCAATTATTTCAATAATTTTGAGAACTGTGAACCAAACTGATTGTTCAAAATAATCCCATCGACTCGGCCTTTCCTAATGAGTCATCGAAAATCGGAGTGATATCAAGAGCTAGGAATGTCTGAGATCTTCAAAAACTAAAATTCATTATGGGTATATTTTCTTCAGGAATGTGAAAATAATCTCTCATGATCCTAGTTATAGTTGACGAATAATGTTGCTAAAATCATCGAAGTATGTAAAGCCATATACTAGACAAAAATTCTCTGATGCCATTGGAATAAAAATGAAAGACTACTCAGAAATTGAATTTCCAAGCAGTTTTCGGCGACCAAAATTAAAATGAACGATCGAAACTATTTTATTTATATGTTTGCTCTCACCGAGCACTCCATATTCCGATAAGCTTTGACTGATCGACATCATATCGAGTAATCGAAAGTATCTTGCCGATGGGTCTCCTCTCTTCCAGTAGTCACGATTTTGATAGACTTCGAGCGGTCGAAAAAGTGTCCGAGGAATCGAAAATGACTTCTCGATGGAGCAATGTTTTCGACCACTCGGTATGTCGTTGGGTTTCGACTGATTGAAATCATATCGAGTAATCGAAAGTCTCTTTCCGATAGACCTCCTCTCTTCGAGTAGTCAGAATTTCGATGGGTTTTGGGCGGTTGAAATGTGCCCGAGGAGTCGAAAACGAGTATGCGATGAGGCAATGTTTTCGAGGCCTTGTCATTCGATGGTGTCCAAGGGGCTTGAAATTCGAACAGAACGGGAAAAAATATATATTTTCAAAATTCGCCCACTCGTCGCACCCTTCGTTAGCTTTTTTAGGTCTACTTGGGGTGAAGCTTGACGAAATTGATATTTGAAGAAGACGAACGGGAATCAATACATTTCTTTTATGGAAAGAAGTGGTGTTCGATAATAAATGGCAGATTTTTCTATTTTTGTGTCCATCTTCTAGCGGGAGTGGATAGACCAGTCAGTTCAGTATAAAATTGGTATTGAAAAATCAGCGATCAAGTTTAAATGTGGTTTGGTCCTTTTCTACAGCTAATTGGCATCACAAATTTTTATGGTCAAAGCGGCGATGTCTTTTCCCAAAACTTTAACAAAAAGAGTGTGAGTGTAGGTGGGTGTCGGTGTGGGCGTGGATGTGGGTGTGTGGGTGTGGGGTGTGGGGTGTGGGTGCGGGCGTGTAGGTGTGGGTTCTGTTCAAGAGAAGATCCAAACCCGCACCCGCACCCACACTCACATCCACATCCACACCCACACCCCACACCCACACCCCACACCCACACCCTATTACAAACATAATTTGTGAGGCAATTGATGCCCGATCAGACGAACGCTCTGTAGTGTATGGAAGATTTTGGAGAAACACCAACACCATATTCGAAATTAACGGATTTCGACAATATCCAATAGCTTCGACCATTCAACGTCCTGCGTCCAGTCAAAATAATGGACTTTTTTCTAAGTTCGCACATGAGACGGTGAAGTTCATATTGACAGCTGTAACCGCCTCTAAACCGTAGCAGTAGAATTTTTTTGTCTCGTAAGAACGTGATCTGCAAAAAGTATATCGATGATGTATTTCAGCATGAATGTGAGGATTTTTTTGGCTCATTCCACATACACAGACGTCATCAGAATATTTATGAAAGATTCTTTTGTATGCATTAGTGAGATCGATAGTAGATTGATCAACTTCGAAGTATGCTGTCTTACTTACCACTTCTTTGGTAATTTCATTATTGTCAGCATCACTCAAGTGAATGAACAATGGTCCACATCGTAAGTTTGCTGGATTCCATGAGAGCATTTCTCAAAGTATTGCGATGAAACTGTGGGGGAGTGCAGAACAGAACTGGGACATGTGCAAGTTTTACCTTGTAATTACTTATTTTGCAAATAGCGTTACCTTTTCGTTGCTTCCAATCACTTCGATTCTTTTGCTAGTAGAGTTGTCAAGAATTGTTTCGATAGTTACATGTTTCTTTTTCAAAGTCACATTTCTTCAAACCCATATTTTTATTATTTGAATAACCTTCGTCGTTTTTACATAATGCAAATGCCACGCAATAGAACTGAAGAAAAAAAACGCAGCAAACAAACAAAACACACAAAAGAAAAAGTAAAAAAGACAGTCTCTCAATACTGTGCAGAAACAACAACTCATTGATGATTCAGGATGCCTTCATCCTATGCAAACTCTTTTCGGTTACAATTTAGATTTCTTTTTCTTCTATCCGATTTTTCTATGTCAAAGAACAACTAAATTTAAAAGAGTAGTGTCGGCACATGGAGATTCTACCAGTCTGCTGTCGTTATTCTCGATCGTGTTCTTGTACCGGATTATGAAGCATTATGTGTCGCGACTATTTTTTGTGCAGTGACAACAGTTTTTTTGTCAATTTATTTGGTCAGTCAGTTCTGTCCGTATAAAAATACCACTAGCAGATATTGCAGACAGAGCATGGATAAAAGGTTGTCCTGAATAATAGCAAAAGTATCAACGTCGAAACGGACACTGTTGAAATAGAAAAATCATAGGAAAGAACACTCACTCACATAAACGGGCGCAACACTTCGATGATCGTGAGGGTGTGAGTGTGGGGCGTGCGTGTTTGTGGGTGTGGGTGTGGGGTGTGGGAGGGTGTAGGTGTGGGTGGGTGAGGGTGTAAGTGTGGATGTGGGTGTGGATGTGGGTGTGGATGTGGAGTGGGTGAGGGTGTGGATGTGGAGTGGGTGAGGGTGTGGTGTGGGTGTGGTTGTCGGTGCGGGGTGTAGGTGTGGGTGTGGGATGTGGGTGCGGTGTGGGCATTGTCAGGGTGTGGGTGTGGGTGTGAGTGTTGGATGTGGGTGTGAGGTGTGAGTGTCCATGAAGAGAAATTAACACCAGCATCCACACCCACCCACACCGACCCACGCCCACACCACACTCGCATCCCACACCCACAGCCCACCCACACCCCACACCTACACCCTCACACACACCCACACACACCCACACCCACACCCACACCCTCTACTTAAAAAAAAATGAAAACAACAATAGATTGATTCGTATTGTTCTATGTTATTAATTTTAATGAACATGTTTAGTTTCATAGAATATGATAAATCATAGAGGAATAAAATTTTATTAAAAATAGAAGAAAATAAAAAATAAAACAAAAATAAAATTCATGTATATGTCTAATGATGATGCCTAATATGAGTAGATGTCGAAATATTACGATTTACTAAATAAAGAAAGCTTGTATATATTTTATATTTTTGGGTGCATTTTGTTTCTTTACATCCACAAAGACAAGTTTATCCATTTGTGAATGATTTAATTTTCTAGAGAATGTATCGCCAGGCAGCATGCCAATCTCCCAAATCACGAATTTCCTCCTCAGACATGTTCTCATAGCCCCATCGTCGTTTGTTCTCTTCGTTGCTTAGATCACATATATCGAAGCATTGGACGCCTGTCCCCACGTGACGCTGACTCCACACTCGCAAGCACAACTGATGATTGTGTAGGTCCATATAGACGATCACGTCGTCGATTTTCCGCTCGTAAGCCAAAGAAAAGGATCACAACATTGATTAGACCGAATACGCAGAAACCCAGATTGACAGCATGACCAAGGATAAAGCGAGGTGCATCTTGTGTGCGATAGAGTTGTCCGCTAATCACTCCACCGATGTTGCCCACCGAAATCGTGAACGCCAACGCGGTGGCTCGTTTCGTTTGTGGACTAGTGTTGCCTGATAAAAAAACAATACTAGTGGATGTGCATGGGGAGAGACTGCCAGCTGCAAGAATTACAGCGAGATACTTGATAATCACGTGTTTAACTACTATCAGAATAATATAAGCAACTATACTTATGGAGAACCAAAAAATGATGAAAATACTGCGATGAGTATATTTGTCAGACAGATGGGCTGTGATCATCATGGTCAAAAAAGCAAACACATTGGGCGGCGCACTGAGCAGTTGGGCCTGATAAGTGACGAAACCAAGATTCTGAATGATGGTTGGTGAGTAAAACGCCAGAGAATAGGAAGGAACACAGATGCTCATAAAGCACAATGCCCAAACATGGGTTCTCCATGTCGATAGAGCGGCCACGACTTGATTCCAGCTGAAGTGCTCGTTAGCTTCAGTTCCTGCGTCGGTTTGTAGTCGAGCCATGACACGCTTGCATTCGGACTCGGTTAGAAATTTCGGTCTATCAGAAGGAAAATCGTTCATAAGAAAGAAGGCCAGTACTCCAACAACTACTGTTATGATGCCTTCGAGGTAGAAGATCCAACGCCAACCTTCTTGTCCGCCAACACCGGCCATCTTAGTGATACCGTAAGCAAGCGCACCACCGAAGGTGCCAGCAAGAGTACCACCTGTGAAAAGAATACTTACACGCCACGAGAGCTCACGTCTCTTGTACCAACTCGAGAGATAGAAATTGGCACCTACATAAAACGAATCATAGGCAGATAGGTCTTAACTGACTCACCTTCTCTATACCTGGAGAAAGACCTGATTCAAAAGCACCCAAAAATAGACGACACGCAAGAAGATCTCTATACGATTTTACTAGACCCATCAGCGTCATCACGATGCCCCATGCCACCATGATCATTGGTATCCATTGACTAGGTCGAAGTCGTTACAGTATCAGATTCGACGGAATCTCGAATATAACGTAGGTAACGAAGAACACACTCAGACATGCGTTGTATTGATTACTGCTCATGTTTAACGACACTGTTAGACCGTCGAGTTTTGCCTGGCCAATATTCACTCGATCGAGGATACTCAGGAGATAGTGCAATGTTAGGGTTGGAAGCAAGTGCCAATCCATTTTGCGAAGAAACTTTTTGTCTTCTGGATCATCTTCCTTGTCATAAGCGATAACAACATTCACTTCTTGTATGACAGACTTTGTGTTGATAGAATCTGTCTTGATAGATTCTGTCTTAACAGAGAGCGACGGACTATTCTTCTCACAAGCACCAATATCGTTAATAGTTTTTGTCATTTAGAACTGTTCTCAGTAATAGCCTACTCGCAACGAGCAATTTGATATATATGCGCAAAAAACCAGAGACATTAGGAGAGAAAGAGAGAGAAAGATGAAATCACCCAAATGTATAGCTCTGGGCGTGCAAATTTTCCCATTGATGTTATCAGTCCATTCATTTTCGTTCTCTTCAGAGACCAAAAACAAATATGTGCTTCAAGGTGTGCATTTTATGCTCTGATTGATTCATCGGTATGATGTGAAACCGAAATAATATCGAATGCAGCGGCCGAAGAGATACAAAAAATACAAAATTATAGAAAATTATTTTTTTTTCGTGTTTTTTTTATATACAGTTAGAGAGAGATCAACGAGTTGATTAAAAATATACTTTTTTTTAAAATTTCTTCTGAAAGAGTGTTGATTAAACAAAATTCGAGATTTTTGATAGTCTTGAGTGTGTCATTTTTTCTAAAGGCACGTTTTTTATACTAAAACACTGACACATGTTTTCGTTTTAAAAAAAAAATTTCGTTTGATGTAGATTATAAAATTGATATGTTTGAGTTTTCCATGACAAACTGAGTCTGTAAGACTAATTTTTGTTACTATTCAACTATGTTATCATCATGAAATCTGTTGTATGATAAAATCAGCAACAAGTGACATTTCAACCGGTCGACGAAATTGTTTTTTGCAACACTATCTTGTATTTTCTATGAAATATTATATCTATCTTTTATATATCATTCGAATCCCCAGACACTGCACTTCAAAATTATAGCTTTGGTTTTCCAAAATATTACTTTATTGGTGGAAAAACATGGTTCGAGATTTCCAAAACATGAAATCCCGCCGGTAACATTCGAAAGTCTTTATACCTTTTCATTGGCTAGTTGATCATTTTTCATTTCATTAATACTAAATAAAATATTCATTAATTCTGTTTCAACAATATGTATTGCATATTCTTTATTAATTTTAATTATATTGCAAATCATATAGAAAACTCGAAATTGAAAATTAAAATTATTACAAGTACATAAATATTTGAAAATTTCAGTAAATAGTTTTACCTTTTTTCACATATAATTTGATTTTCTTCAATTAAATCATTTAATCTTTTTCGTTCTTTAGCTTTTAATATTAAATCTTTTATATAATCAAGATCTGTTTTGTAATGATAATAAAACAATTAACGTTTTGAAAGCTATTTCTATTCATAGTTCATCATCTGCACTATATAATAATGCCAATACTTTAATTCGATCATTTTCTCCAATAAACTATTTGACAATCTAATCATAATTTATATCTAATGAATAATTATTTTACTTCTTTTTGAACAACTAAATTGCACATACATTCAATTGTTGTTCGTCTTAACATTGGATGTTCTTCAAATATATGTAGTTCAATATTTGAAAATTCTTCTTCTTTTAAAATACGTTTTCTAACATTTTCTCCAGTACTTATTAAATTAGTTAAACTCATTAATGCTTCAAAATTTTCTTGAGTTACTTTTATCATACCAATAGGTGCTCTTACCGAAGCAAATGAAAGTAAAGAAGCCTGAAAAGAGAAACAAACTCTTTTACATATTTTCACTCTATCATCAGTAACAATTGATCTACTATATTTTTCATTTTCATAAAGACCAAGAAATACTATAAAATAAATTCGAATTTAACATAATCTTCATTTTCTTAATACCAAGCTAATCATTCTCGACCATTTTCACTTTTATGTTACATAATTGTACTAAAATAGAAATAATTCCTGCTTCGACTAATTTTCGTTGATGTTTATCAAAAAGTGTTTTTTTGATTCTATATAAAATTAAGTTATATTCGATTAAATATCTTTTGTTTTTTTTTCTTCTGAATATCCGTTTAGTATATGTTCTTGTGCACCAGCTGCTAATTCAGCCATTTTCTTTATTTAGTTTTCATATATTATATGTATTTGTTAAATTAACAAATATTCTTATTATAGAGTACAAATATGTCAATCTTGACATTGATATCAATTAAAAAGACTTTTCAAAGCTGATAAATTATCCAAAAGTTCTTTTTTAACATCAATATCTACGGAAAAATAAGCCAGATTATCAGTGAACCAAAGACAAATATCAAAACTTTAAGTTGTTGATAAAAATCTAAAAAAAGGATTCTATATAAACAAACAAAAAACTTTTATCATAATATAGTTGCAACTTGCACGATTACATGTTTAACATAGGCCTTCTGTAACAAGATGTGCACTTGCATTTGTACCTTTACTTAATGGAATTTTTGATAAACTCTAAAACAATAAAAATAAGAGTAAAACATAGAAACCCAACACATCTTACAACAAGAGGCAATACTATAATATGTTGATTTGCTAATTAATAAAGATTCTCAAGAATATCAGCATCTTGTAATATAATTCTAGCTGATTTATCTTTTTTTTTTGATACTGATAGAGTAATTTCGGTTGCAATGTGTTTATGAGAGAAACAAAGAATTGACATTGGACAATAACAACAAACTTGAAATTACTTCTTGTAAAGGATCATTCGTATCAACCATTTGTAACATTAAATCCACTAAATTTCGACTATATAAGATCACATTATCATTATCAAAAGAATCTTATAAAAGAACAACTAAGAGAGAAATTATTCATATTGGTTATGGAACATCATTGTTTTTCCATAAAACTTTACAATATCATAAAATATTCTATTAGGTAACCTTTCTAAATGATAAGAATTTCGTTTGAAACTTTTCTATTAACAATTAAACTTACTTAATAAATTCTATACATTCATTCTTAAATTCTTTTCATTCTTTTTCACAATATAAATCATGATAAACAACATTAAATACACAATAAATACCATGTATTTTTGTTTGTTCTTTTATTGAATATGATTTTTTCTTATGATTTGGTTATTAAAGGATGTGGGTGTCGGTCTTCGCTAAATTCACACTCACTCATACCCTCAAGTTTTATGGAAAAATATGAAAAGTTATTAATAATTTCTGACCTCAGATTCAGATTCTCCATTCTCGATTTCTCTATAGGGATGGCTTATTATTGGGATTTACTATAATCTTCGAGCACACCATGATGCTGTTTTCTGATGGATTGCACAGACAAACATTTTTGTGTGGTACACCCTTTCTTCCAGAAAAGAGAATGATATTCTCCAAATCGATCGAGTAGAACATAGTCGATTTCCTCATTTTTCTGCCAAAAGATTCGCTATTTGTTACCATTAGAGAGAGACTACCGACTCATAAGATATTAAGAAAAAATGCAAGTATGATTTTTGATAATTTCATCAATTTTTATATATTTTCATTTTCGTTCGAACAGATTATAACGTAGGGAACACACAGTGTGCTCTTTACAGTGCCGAAGGAGAGAATATCTTCATTAATCAATGTTAGTTCAGTAGCGAACGAACAACTGAGAGATCCGATCGTGCATTCGATTGTTTCGTCTACAGTTGATCTTGGTTCTCTTTCGTTCGAGATTATTTTTGGATTGATCGATTGCTGGTTCGGTGTATCAATTGTTCATTCATTATCAATATCTGGAAATTGGTGAATTGGATCACATGGGCGGTTTGATCGAATACCGTAATTGCCAACTAGCAAAATAAACAATTGTATATCGATTAAAATGTCACTGTTGACACTCGATCATCCAGGCAATCGATTGAGATAGATAAGGAACAATTGCTTGTGATCAAATATTTTTGTAACATAAGTCGTCGTTTGCCTCTCACTCGTAATAGCTATTTTGATACCAAAAATCGATTTGTTGACTTTTCGCAGTTGATTCTATGCACTGTAGATAAGACTACGTCGAGTTCCAATTAAATTGTTGGCCAATAATACCTTTTGAATTTCATTTTGAAGCCTCACGAAAGAAAAATATTTTAAGAATCGTGTTCGAAACTTCAAGTGACTAAGGTTTGTGGAACGTTTTTCTTTTTAGAAGATGTCACAAAGGGAAACAAACTCTCTTTCCTGATGTAACAGAAAGAGAAAAACCATCTAAATGCTATATTCAATCAATTCAATTGTTAATATAGTGACTGCTTAGAATATTAACAATTGTTTGCATATTTTTCTTTTAATTTAATATTGTGTGTATTCAATCTTTTGAAACTAGAGCAGATAATCCAACGTAGAATAACACTGATCACCATTATACATTCATGCTACTATCGCTGGTCTAGGAACTTGAATCTGACTTCTATAGTTCACATCATTCTGAATACTAATCTCATTCTGCTGAAGAACTATCTGTTTCCGTTCAGTGTTTATTCTATACATGTGTTTTTCAATAATGAATAAGATTCGAAGCACACGTATCAGAATATCGAGTTATCTTTTTATCTCAAATATTAATTCTTTTGACACAGATCTTATTCAAATATTGGTTATTTTTTCATGGATCAGTTTAATAAACAAAGATTTGTCTTAAAAAAAATTTATTTCTTTTTTTTTATTGATTTTAAGTAAAATTCTGAATATGGCACAATTACAACGAATAAAAATATGTATCATTATTCTCTATTGTTTATTATATTCGACATGTAAGTTAACAATGATATTTGGAAAAGTAGATTTAGTCAATCTTAGTTGGAAGTCCTGATGAACGGCGTTTATTGAAACATCTACCCATTGAACAGCAATATAACAAACTTGAACGACCTGCTCAAAATGCTTCAGAACCTGTGTCTGTCAGCATAGGATTTACTCTGATGCAAATCATGGACTTTGTAAGTACGATTCAAATTCAACTTTGCTTTATTCTTTCGTTTTTTATTGCAATATGAATAGGATCCGAAGAAGCAAGTTCTTGTAACCAACGCCTGGATGACTCTCGTGCGTTTACTAACCAAGAAAATTTGATATTTTTTCACATATCTATGCAGATATGGCAAGATTACAGTATGACCTGGAAACCACAAGATTTCGGTGGTATTGCAACGATAGTATTACCGAGCACAACAATTTGGATTCCAGATATTGTTCTATATAACAGGTAGAGATCGAAAATTATGTATTGCAAATAAAGATTTCTGTTTGCCAAGTGTCGATGAGAAGTTCAACAGTCCCATGGAAACAAATGTGGTTATACAACATACTGGAGATGTTCTGTATGCTCCACGGAAAATCTTCAAGTCAAGTTGTTCATTCAGTACTGGATCGATCCCGTTTGTAAGTGTTGCTTACTCTGAAAAAAATCTTTGATTTATATCTCATTTTATCATGAATATTTATATTTTATAGGATACACATTCCTGTACTTTGAAATTCGGATCTTGGACATTTGACAGTTCGAGTAGGTGTTTGAATATGCTTGGTTGTTTTGTATGAGACATTAAAAAAAAAATAAAAGAAGGACAATTGAAAGAATTTGAATAATCTAAAATGTCCTGATTTTTATGAAAAGTATACGATAACATTGTGATTTCGATTGTTTTCATCATAGATTTTCCGCATAATGTATGCAATTGTTATTTAGAAATCAATCTGACCTTTAAAGACGAAGTCAATGATATTGACGTGAGTTCATATGTCAACAATACCGAATGGGAACTGAAAGGTAAATCATGTGAGTTTCGAATAGCTAATTGGGTTTTTCTATTTCAGGTACTTCTGCAGTTCGCAATACAATGAAATACGACTGTTGTCCAGAAATATATATAGCCATCGTGTTTACCATTCGAATTAGTCGGCGTTCTATTGATTATTTCACAACATTGAATGGTACTGAAATCATAACTATAAAATGCATTTCTTACCTAGATACATCCATCAGAAGCATATCACGATACAAAAAAAGTTTTAGCAATAGTAATGAAAATTTTCTAGTACACAATCGACATCTTCTAAATCACATGAAATCGTATTTTTTTTTCTACCTTTCTCCCTTTAATATTTCGCTTTGTTCATAACTTGGGGCATTGAAAACAGGATCGGACTGTTCAGTTTAACAGTTTTAGGAACTGACAATGTATCTCTCTTTCAAATAGAAGAAGTTATCAATCTATTTGAAATCTCTTTGTTGAATATTCAAACTGTTCGATTTTTCTTTTTCTTATAGATACAATAAAAACAAACACGGCTGGCACGCAACACAGTGGAAACAAGACGAAAGATTCAAAGATCGTGAACAAGAACAAAAAAAAGTTTGATGATATGGTCAAGAAGCAAACCTAGCCGTTGAATAACAACTCATACCGACATATCTTATTCGTTTTCCTATTTGTTTCTTCCTTTTTCTTTTCATCTTGACTGCTATTTCCCATAATTGATCATGGATCAGACGCTTCTTTGTAGCAGAAGATTTTTTTTGCACACACCTCAAAGAAGAACTAATGACTAGCTCAGAATAAATAGCTATTCTGATATTCTCCTATAACAAACATTGATCGTATTCCTTTGGACTGATCATCAATTGAACTAAATGAACAGGTGAATGATCTGTCAGAATCCCATGAATCAATACAGTTTTGAATGTTTTTTCATCGAAACGTTTATCGATCGCGTACACATTATCCATATCTATCGCAACTATCTTCTATATTAAAGACGAAGCATGGTTTAGTATTGTTGTTAATAGAGACCAAAGCTCCAAATGAGATGAGATAGGACGACAAAATCGTGTCATGAAGTTACCCAGAAATTTTTTTTGTCCATCATATGGGACATCTCATTCGATGATAATTTTCTACACTTCAATTGAGTCAATCAATTGCGAATAATTTTTCTGAAATAATTTTGAAGTCATAGACAGAATGTAATAGATTGTCGACTGCTTTCTTTTCTTGATCATCTATTCCTGTGAGTCTCTTGAGAATGCGGGTTTCCTTCTCAAAGGAAAATTCTATCACAATACTCTTTCAAAAATATTCAAGAGACAAAGAATGTTGTTCCTAACAAACTGTTATGTTTCTAGTCTTGAAATCAGATTTCAAAAAAAAATTCCAGTGTTGATGAAAGATAACAGTATCCAAACATCTCGAATCGAGTGATTTCAGACAAATAGATCAATGGATCTCACCAATCAATTTACAACGGCTGTAAGAAATCGAAATAGCCACAGCATATTATACGTTCCAAAGGTCAAGGGATTGACGAAAGTCAATCGGCAAGCCAATTTGATCAGAGCTAGATAGGCTTCACGTATAGATCGTGGATACGACGGAAATAATTTTGTTTGATTGTTCAGATCGTTGGAAAAAATTAAGGCACCGATGTCATCATCGTCCCTTTAAGCTTCAAGCTTGTCATCAATAGTATTGCTAGAACTAAAATTAACAGTGTAAAATTAGAAAAAGATCACATTAGAGCTTGAAATAGAGAATGGAGATCGTCGAAAGTACATGCTTCGACATCTGATATGAGTATATGCAATATCGACTTTGATTGTATTGAAATTTTTGCATCAAATTGGTAAACCTATTTTTTCTATGGTTGATCGTTTCGATGAGGGTGCATATGTTCAAGTGGTAGATATTTCATATTCAATTCGAAATCAAATTATTACCATTGTGTTAGATCAATTACTCAACAAGATATGTTCTACTTATCATTGATCGATTCGGCAGTATAATGGTGAGCAACAGTCAACAAACAGACGAGTGATATCTGGAAATATTGACGATTCTGGTTGTGTTGAACTTCGTTACGTATATGTTTTCCACGCACAAATGTGAATCACATACCTTTTCTTTTCTTCTAGACCAAGACAAGTACAAAACGAGTCAAGATTGACACATATTTGTTCGACATGAGAACTTGAACGTGACGATTTTGCTCAACCGTCGTGCCCAAATGTAACCGTCTACCCAATCACTATTCAGACCATCAGCAACACTAGTTAAGTATCTAAGGCGAATTATTTGAGACAAAGAAAATTCTATTTCAGCCCTTGTAAAACCATCCACAGTTATCGACAATTACTGCATGTCGATCGGTGTTCGAATCAGTGTATATATGTATATACAGGGTGAGTCATAAATATCTTTACGATAAAAAATTTGAATACCTCCACTCTGCATCAATCAATCGAGCTGATTTTTTTCTCAGTGATACAGAACTCTTCAAAGTTTTTATTCATTAGGAAATCATCAGTAAATACTATTTGAATTAGCATTATTGACTTCAATCAACAAATATACTATTAGCAACAAATATCTCATACTGTAATGTCAATCATTCTTAGGGTTAGAAGCCTGAAATTTTTAGCACATATACTACCTTAGAAATGTAGATCAATGATATCAGTGTGATCTCGATCATTAGAGTTGAAACGGAGTTATGATCTATGACAAATCTTCTAACTGGGAACCCTATAACTCGGAGAGAAAAAGTTTTTATGACTCGACCGACCTATCATTATGTAAAGTAATCACAGCTTTTGAGCGTCTAGATGAAATCTGATTTAATTTATAGCGTACATGGCAACACTGAAAGGCTACATAGTGATAGGTTGGGTGTGGGTGTGAGTTTGGATGTCGGTTTGGGTGTGGATGTGGTTGTTGGTTTCGCTACGGGTAGGTATGGAGTGTGGGTGTGTAGTGTCGGTGTGTGCGAACAGAAATTCAGCAGGGTGTGAGTGTGGGTGTTACTCTTCTCTTTAATCACACCTACATCCGTACCCACATTCACACCACACCCACACCCACATCCACCCACAACCACACCCACACTCCACGCACCCACCCACACACCCACACCCCACACCCAAATCCGACACTCACACCCACACACCCACACTCAGACTCTCACCCGTACCCTTGTTGTGATTTGATAAAAGTGCAAACTTTCGTGTCGGCATAAAAGGTGTCATCAATTAACTGCTTGCTGTTTACCTAGGCACAAACTTTTCTTTTGCTTTTACGTGTATTATGGCATATTTACTCTCATAATTTCTTCTAAGTCACAACAGAGATTGAAATACGTTGTTCAAGATCGTGAAAACATGAAATCTATATTTTTGCATTCTTTCTTGAAGCAAAATAATCCATTTGCAAACATAAACTCTGCCAAACAATGGTGAAAAGAAAAAAATTCCGAAGGTATTCAAAAAGGATTGCTTCAGTTTGATTATTGTTACACAGATTTGCATCGACAAAGCAAACTAAAAGATGCCAACAGCTGGACAAGCCATGGCTTCATATATTCCTCGCTATAAGCCTGCTTTTCAACAGGTAACTCAACTAGAATACACATGTAATGAAGAATCTATCAAAAATACCAGGACCTAAAATTCATTATTCCATGCTTTTATCAAATCTTTCTTGAAACAGAATTCCAAATTGGAAAGCAGTTTGATCTATCGTAGATCACAAAATATTTTTCTTTTACGTGATTTTTATTAACAATCTCATATTTTGAGCAGGGTCAACTAGTTAATCCTCCATCAGTCATCAAACCTATGACATACAAGCAGTTCACGGATTCCAATGTGACTCCGCCGGAATCGATTAACCAGTCCATCACTGTCAGCCTAGGTGATATTGAAGAAATCAAAAGCGACAGGTTTGTGTACTATTTTCAGGTCAGATCTGAACTATTCTATGGGTTTATTCAAAGTATTCAGTGAATATCTTGAAGCCGTGTTACACTGTGAGTTTTAACATAATTGTTGATGTCTGTAGTTTTTTGTTTGAAGAAAATACGAATTCTAATTTAATGTAGCTTGATTGAGACTGAAACGGGATGCATTGTAGTGTCGAGAACCACACTTCTATCGAAAACTATTTCATATTTAAAAGCAACACTGTCTGAATTCGAAAATCCAAGTCGAAATAGAAAGACTTGAACATATTTTCCTGAAAAAAAATAGTTAGGCTCGATATGTTCAACGTATCACTGCTGTAAATCAACATTTTCAGAAAAGTAAGGATATATTTGAATAGCTTGTAGAATTTTCTACAACTCTATATATGTTCATTTTGATTGATACTTGTTCTCTAACAAAGGAATTCAAGCACAGTGAAGGTACCTTCATTATGAGATTCTCCAGGAATGCATTTTTTCTTTCCTTTTATGGAACTCACATGTATTCCCGAAGAAAATAGTGAGTTTAAGTTTTAAGTCCAAGTTTTGGTGGCTCCCCCACCCTTTCTCCCCGTTACAGACCATAGCAATGTAGATTCCTACTACAGACACTAGCAAACCAGAGATACAATTGTTCTTAAAAAAAACTTTGACTAATCTTGAAATTTAAATCAATAAAATTTGTATGCTAATGTCTGTAGTAATTCAGTTTGAAATTTTTGCGCCGATAAAAATTTATATTTAATACGTCATCGATTATCAGCAATGATGAATTGATCAAGTTGTTAATTGAAAAAAAACTCAACGACAGTGTTTGTGACTTGATCGAGATACATAATAGTCCATTGATATTTGCTGTAAATAAAATCTATATGCGTAAGAGGCATATTTGCCGGTTAAATCAATGATTAGAATGATAATACAATAGATTAAAAACAAAAGAATACGAAAAAAACACGAAAGATAAAAATAATGAGTGATTAGCAACAAAAATAGAGCGCCTTTAAAGAAAGCAAAAAAAAATATTTTCAAAATGCAAGAAGGAATAACAGAGATTTTTTTTCTGCTGATCGATTATATTGGAAAAAAACTGTAATATGATACAGTTTTTTTACTTTACATGTTTTGTATCAGTGTAATCAGTCTAAAGAGGGTATGTGAGTTCCACATTTCAGCCTCAACGGAACTGCACTAACTAGCTTTTTCATTCTTTTTTTCAAATTTATTTCAATGGTGTCATACTTGAAACTTGAATTCCATTGCTGAAATTCTGTTCAAGTATTCTACTATCCCGAGAGAGAGAAATGTATTGTGCATGTGTTTTTATGGCACCTTTAGCTAGAAAGACATCCTGCATGTGTATGTGTGTGCCTGTTTTCTTTGCATTCATAGTAAGAGAGATATCATTGGTACATGTTTCCTTCATTTGCTTAACATTTGTAGTGATAGTCGAGTACATAAAATTAAATTTTTCATGTTTCAATTATTCACTAATTGAATTCAACTTTGAAGTCTAATACATATGATAATAGAATTCTTAAGCTGTCGGAAAACTATAAGCAGAGTAGAACATGGCAAGAAGTCAATTTTGAAGTCAGTTCAAAGTCAACTAAATTTTTTGCCGAAAATTCAATTTTAGTATATAAACTTTT